AACTAACGCATTCATACTCATTCATACACATTCACACACCGATGCACAGCATCAGGAGCAATTCGGGGTTCAGTATCTTGCTCAAGGATACTTCAACATTTGGCAGCAGTAGCTGGGGATCGAACAAACAACCACAGCCGCTCTGCCCCGGCCCTGTTCTTGGTAAAATTTCTGTGAATGTGGCATTTTCTATTAGATTTTGCATTCTACAGTTACATCACACCAGTACAGAATTTCTGGCACGCCTGTTACCACTCCAGCTGTGTGTACTCAGAGCGGGAGGTCTTTCCGGTTATTGTCTCAGTTTGAAGCAGCCAATCAGCATGCGCGTCAACATCCCAAACCGGAAGAAGGAAGCCCAGCCTGAAAAGACCGCCTCGATTAAAAGTGGAGACGTTACCTGAAGGTAAGCCTCTTATTACTTTAACATAGGGTATAAAAGCGACCTAAAGACACGTTATGTTAATACAGCAGCTTGTTTCTCACGAAGCAGTTTCTTATCGCTTTCGCACAGACAGATTCAAGCGATACTATCCTTTCAAAAGAGTGTCGCTTTCATGTAATTGACGTTACATAAAAGTATACAAACTGAGCCTGACTGATAAAAATATATTTCAGTCATCTTCGTTTCAGAGCATTTTGGGTCTTGCGATTCACCGAAAGTCATTAAAATGTTAAATACCAGTGTACACAAGGTAACAGAATACCCTATGTTAGGTATTATTAAAAGTCCCGAGTGTGTGATTTGAATTTTGGCGGTGGGGGACATTACAATTGGATCATGGAGTGGGCTGTTAAATATGATTAAATAACCTATTACTGAATTGATTTCAAAATAAAAGCTTCTGATTAATGCTCAGTTTTATTTAATCTACAATAGTTGACAGAACAATCTCAGTTTAGGGTCCATTTAGTAGCAGCTCTGGAGCTTTCAGCCATATCAAACTGGAATAAAATTTCAGTTGTTCTGAGCACTTAAAGTTTTAGTTTTAATAACATGGAATAACTTTGGAAATATGGAAATAAGCTTGTTAGCTGATATAAATCCAGTTACTGCACAAGTAACTGCGATGACTTTATAGTAGATGTGTGTCCACACTCTGATTTTGTGGTGGAAATCAAGTATGCAAGATGTTTCCTAGTTGTATCAGCTTAAATAAACACTGCTCACAATGTCCACAGCAAGTCTACTGTACTATGTAGGTTAGAGATGGACAAACTTTGAGATGTACACAAAAAAAAACTACTGTACCTGATTTATTTTCATAGTTGAAATTCAGTTTTCTTTTTAAAACACATAAATATCATCACTAAAAACACATGCATGTGACGCATACTGTATATACTGTCCATCCATCTACCTCATGTACATAAATATACCTATACAAAAATATTTATTACAGCATCCTTTGCACTCTCACTTAAGCAGTCATTTTTATGCAAAAATCCATTTCGAGACCTTGGAAAATAAAAAAGACATTGTTGTGCTGTTTTCTACCTCTGGTACGGGTGTGGGTGCCTTTCCACTATGGTTATTAACTTATGTATCAAAATAAGAATAGAAATACAATAGATTAATTTGATTAAATTACTTTATATGTTTAACAATGAATAATAAAACAATAAATTAATACCCCAAGAAAGAAAAAGGTGTATGTTGGACTGTAGTTGAGCTCATCATCCAGTCACAGTGAGGCCCATGATGTGAGTGTCTTCCTGTGGGAGAGGTGTGTCCTGGTTAGCATTGATCACTCTCTCTTGTTTACAGTGCAGGGATCCTTAGGGACAGTACAGGGGTTAATTGCTGCTAAAGCTCTGCTCTCTGCCCACTCCTCACTCTGTTAATACAAAAGAGATGACACTAATGAGGGAATGCAAGGAGGACACCGCTCCTCCGTGGCTGCAGGTCAGCTGGGGGGGGGGGTTTGATGATTACCACAGCTGGCTAAGGGACAGACCAGTGTTTGAGAGAGCTTGTCATTATTCATTTTGCAAATCTAGTAAGCACCAACATTGTGTATGACCGCATGTGGTGATTTCTAAAGTACATTCTAAAGTACTCAATCAGTTAGCATTTGAAAAGCTATAACTTATATAATGAATTAATTACTGTTCAATCAGCGCATTAATTTAGAACAGACAGTTTCACTGGAAATTCAGTTTTTATTTGGTATAGCGCCAATTCATAACAGAAGTTATCTCAGGACACTTTTCAAATAGAGCAGGTCTAGACCAAACTCCTTTTAACATTTACAGACTACTTAATAGGTCTCCTACATCAGGAAATTAATGAACACCCTGCAGCCAATCAGAATCTAGTATTCACCCAGACCATGGTATAATGCACTTTAAAATTCAAAATTCAAATGTATCTTCTACAAGTGTAAATAAATGAAAGGCAAGATTCAAATCACAGAAAACATTTGTTTGTTTTTGTGAAAAAGGGTAAGAGCCAGTTGCTTGTGTCTCTGCAGTGTCCACCTCCATCACTGTGATCATGAGTTTCTCCCCCTGTCCACCCGGTCCCTTCGGATGCACCAGTATTCAGGAGCAGAGGGAACGCTGGGAGAGAAAACGCAGCCGGACAGCTAGAGAGCTGGTGCAGACAGAACAACGCTACTGCCAACAGCTGGAGCTGGTCACCACTGTACGTACTGTAGGAACACTACCGCTTTAACCCGCTGGGAGCTGAAAGAGCTAAGGGCCTAAAGGCGTGGAGATAACAAATAATAGAGCAAGCCTGTCGGGCCAGTTCAGGCTAATTTAACTTCTCTCCCTTCATTGTGCCCATATACTATAATTAATAAACACGAGCCATAACATTATGACTGCCTGGGCCCGCTGGTGGTCATAATGTTATGCAGCCCCATACACAACAAACTGTTGCATTAACTGTTTCAGCAGTTTGAGCTACAGTAGCTTGTCTGTTGGATCGGACCACACGGGCCAGCCTTCACTCCCCACGTTCATCAATGAGCCCTTGGCCCCATGACCCTGTCTTTGGTTCACCACTTTTGATAGGTACTGACCACTGCAGACAACCCACAGAGCTGCAGTTTTTGGAGATGCTCTGACCCAGTCGTCTAGCCATCACAAATTGGCCCTTGTCAAAGTCGCCATGATAACTAGATAATCAGTGTTATTCATTTCACCTGTCAGCAGTCATAATGTTATGGCTGATCGGTGTATGTATATATTAAATATGTGTTGAAGAAATTTGGCTTGGTACCAAGTATGCTCATGAATCACCCTAGGGTTGTACATGGGATTTGTGATGGCAAAGAAAAGCTAGTCCTACAGCAAAGTATCACTGTAGATTGTGCAGGTAATTCCTCCCAATCACCCGCCTCCAGGCTTCTCCATTTTCCTATTTACCTCTAGTAATATCTATTCATGAAAATCATTTTGGTTTTATTTGTCCAGCCTTTCACATATCTGTAGTGATTGCTGCAGTGTATTGATGTGTAAGCATACCAATTATCATAACATGAAGAAGGCCTCTGCTAACATCAGACAAAATGATTACGCTTTCATGTACATTAAGCTTCAAGAAAAATTAGTAGCATATATCACACAGTAAAGGCCAATTATTTATTGAGTGAGCTAATGTTTTCAGCCAACATCTTGTAATTATATTATGTGTTAGGGTCAGCTTAGCATTTGGCAACATAATTGATGAATTGTCTGGTACGTCTGTTTTGGGGTCATGAAAGGAAACCTTAAGAGTTTCTACAAGTAAGGTATACACAAACGGCAAAATAAGTCACATTTTGATGCTGTGTGTGAGAAAAAACTCACTGATGCACTGCAGTCAGACACTAGACTGAAGATAGTTTCATAATCACCAGCTGAACCACATTTTACTCAAGAGACAAAAGGGAGTTTTCTTTCAAGTTCCATTGACCTGTTTGAATTAAACTACTGTCTAATAAAGGAATAGTTAATAGGGGTATAATAAAATATTGTAAAATGTTTTATGAAATTGTATCGATTCTCAAAACCACCACATCAGTTTTTTAGTTTAAACCCCCAACCGCTAGATAGTAGTGCTGTAAACTGAGGGCTATGATGTTGGATGTTACAGAGACTGTGATAAATACAAGTAAGTTTTTTTTCACTGTTCTGACTACATGAAAAAAGTATGGCTGTCTCTAACTCAAGATTTTCCATTAGTTAGATAGTTAGATATTAATTTAGTTATTTAAATACAAATGTATCTATATTTTTACAGAAAAAGCAGTAATGCGCATTGCCTTGTTTACAGTGTATTACAATGTAGTGAATTGTGATACATATTGCTTTGCCAGATACAAATACACAGCCCTAATAGTGATGTGAAAAAATGCTGACATTAAAGTCTGTCTGAAGAGATAGACGTGTTTCATTTAAATTTACAAAATTATCTGCATGGTGAGATACCACTACAGGAGAAATTTTTTTTTCTTAATTTGGATTTATCGACCCTTTAAAAGTGCATTTGACTAATAAAAATATACAGCAAATAAAGTCTCCAAGCTACAACATTCTCAGAGGCAAAAGGTTTAGCATACAGCCAACACTGTACATTAAAACATTAAGTGCACTTACTGTACGGCACATATTAACAGAACAAAGGGTAGCATTCATGGTACTCTTCCTCCCCGTGGAGAGAACAGACTTTTCCACCTACTGCTGCAGCCTCATTTCTACACAATTACTCACCCTCCACCCGTTCACTCCAATTAGGAGTCATTTTTAGCCCTAATGCACATTCAATTTGCTAATCCCATTTTCACTTCAAATGACTTGAGACCAGCACAGCTGTCGCTTTATTGTGAGCGTTGTGTGGTACATCCCTCTATACTTGTGCTTCATCTGAGCCATGCAGACACACTGTACCATATAACATTAACACACAGTGAGCTGTAGGGCAAAAAACTACCAACCTCTAGTCCCTGTTGTTAAGGTTGTGAAGGTTTTGTGTTGTCAGCAGTGACTGGACCTCCTTATCTAAAAATAATTCCACTCATCAAAGGCATATCCAATCAGAGACAGCCCAGGTCTGGCTTATCGATACAAATGCTGAGAAATAACGTCATTTTATCCCTCTGCTCTCTTGTTTCTCACAGTACTTTGTGGAGATCTTGAAGGCCAAAGGAACCCTGAGGCAGGACATTAGAGAAAGCATCTTCAGTTCAATTAAAGCCATTCATTCAGCAAACCAGTAAGTATCCTCTGAATAATTGAAAGAATAGCTATGCTTTTAAGATGGCGGTGAGAAACAGTGTAAAGAGAAGAGGATTAGTAGTTTGTCTTTTGCGTAAGAATGCAGTCTAGATAAACTCTTAGTTTACCAAAGCAAGTCCTTATCTTCTCCATTAGCAGGACTCAACAACATTGCACTGCAGTTTAGAGGTGCCCTCTTCCCTAATGGACACATTAATGCATATCAGGTATAATTACTCCTGGTGATATCAAAGAGCATTATTGTTGCCATAGAAGACTTCTTGTTGTCTGCCTGACCTGCTCTTGAAGATCTTTAGAGGGGAAGTCAGAGCCGAGAGAAGGTGATCTCACCACATCTCTGGACGTTAGATTGATCTGCTGCTGTAGAACTAAAACCTCCAAGAGCACTTGAAAGACTTCAAAAAGTTTAGTTACATAAATAAAAGGTTGATGTTTGAAGTCAGTACATGTGTACATGCTAAGGCACTGGATTCAGCTATGGTATCCATAAATCAATAAAGTAGAAAAATAGGGCTCATGGTGGGTTTTTGAAAGCTGATACCAAAACTGTTATTTTTGTTTTGAAGTGGTAGAAGTTATACTTTGATCATTTCTGTGATAAAAGTAACAATATTCAGTATCCTCACTACCTCTGAAGCATTTTACCAATCTTAATTGAGACAAAATCTACAGTAGGGATAGACCTAGACATATTCTGATGATCGGTATCATTATTTTATATCTGATTGCCGATGAAATAAATAAATTTTTTTAAATGAGCTACTTTGGCTCTGAATCATCTGCCTCTCTTTGTCTGTAGTCACCACTCTGTAGTAGGGATAGACCGATATGGATT